CCCGCCCGACCCAACTTTCAGGCCCATCCAAGCTGTTGCCAGTTGCTTAACCATAGGATTGACCTGTCTTGGATCCTGCTTCAGGTTTTCCTAAATTCTTTCAAACAAGCAGCATCTGGTCTCAGCTAGCCCCATACCTCTCATTAAGTAATACATAGAAACAAACACAGGGAGGCAGCCAAAATGAGGATACAAAGAAACAGGTCCCAAATGAAAGAACAGAAAAAATCTCCAGGTAAAGAACTAAGCGAAATGGAGATAAGCAACCTCACAGATGCTGAGTTCAAATTACTGCTTATAAGGATGCTCAGTGAACGTAGAGAGAACTTCAGCGAACGTAGTGAGGGCCTCAAGAGCATAAAAAAGGACTAGTCAGAAATGAAGGAGGCACTAACTGAAATAAAGAATAATTTACACAGAATTCACTAGTAGAGAAGGTAAAGCCAAGAAGCAAACCATCGATTTGGAATACAAGGAAGCAAAAAAACACCCAATCAGAACAGCAGAAAGAGAAAAAAATCCAAAAAAATGAGGATAGGAGCCTCTGGGACAACTTAAAGCATGCCAACATTTGCATCTTGGAAGTGCCAGAAGGAGAAGAGAGAGAAGAAGAAATCGAAAACCTGTTTGAAACAATAATGGCAGAAAACTTTCCTAACTTGGTGAAGGAAACATACAAGTCCAGGAAGCACAGAGAGTCCCAAACAACATGAACCCCAAGAGGCCCACACCAAGACACATCATCATCAAAATGCAAAAGGTTCAAGACAAAGAATCTTAAAAGCAGCAAGAGAAAAGTAGTTAGTTACCTACACAGGAGTTCCCATAAGACTATCAGCTGATTTCTCAAAGGAAACTTTGCAGGCCAGAAGGGAGTGGCAAGAAATATTCAGAGTGATGAAAACCAAGAACCTACAACCAAGAAGATTACTCTGTTCAGCAAAGCTGTCATTTAGAATCGATGGCCATATAAAGACTTTCCCAGACAAGGAAAAGTTAAAGGAGTTCATCACCACCAAACCATTATTATATGAAATGTTGAAGGGTCTTTCTGAAGAAAAAGATAAAATATACGAATAAACAAAATGGCAATGAATACATATCTATTGACAATGGAATCTACAAACAAAATGAACAGGCAGAACAGAAACATTCTCATAGATACAGAGAACATTTTGTTGGTTGCCAGATGGGAGGGGGGTTGGGGAAATGGGTGAAAAAGGTGAAGGGATTAAGAAGTACAAACTGGTTGCTAGACTGACAAACCTCAAAGAGAAGGGGGTTGGGGGATGGGAAGAAATAAACGAAAGAACTTATATGGAAAACCAATGGACACAGACAACAGTGTGGGAAAAGGCAGAAAGGGGCAGGAGTGGGGCGGGAGTGAGGAGGAGGGGGTCTATGGGGAAAAAATGAGGAACATCTGTAATACATTCAACAATAAAGATAAAAAATAACGTAAAACACTGCACAGCTGTACAGAGCATGCTCCTATCTTTGCAAGAAAGGCTAGTGTACATACTGAAGTAGATGACAGGCATGAGGCAAGACAATGCCACACCGCTGCTGTGTCACAGGAGCCAGTATGGCTGAAGGGGAGGGAGACTGTGGCCTTCCACTCACTGCTAGATCACCGCTTTAGAATTTTAATGTATATTTCCAAAAATAAATTTTATCGTACAGAAGGCAATACAAGTTTACTGTAAAATTTTTAATTATAGAACTGCAGAAAATGAGACAGGAGGGTACACAGGCTGACGCTCTGAGGGAATTTAGACTCCCCTCCCTTCTTCACCAGATCAGGACATCTGGGGATGGGTGTGGGGAAGGGCTGCCCAATGTGTGGACTGTCACATTCTTGCTGCTCTAAGGGATGGCCACCCTCCTCATCTGCATAAGGTGAGGCACTAAGCTGGGGCCTGGGTTGCTGCTCTGCCAATGGGCCAGAAAGGTTCCTCTTATTGGTTTCTCCATGATGTGAGCTATACTTCAGGGTTCAAGGTCTCTAGGTACCTCCAACTGCATGAATTCTTTTTAAGAGGTTTCACCCTGCCCTGGCCAGGTGGCTCGGTTGGTTGGAGTGCCGTCCCGTACACCAAGAGGTGGCAGCTGTCTGTGGACTGGGCCGTCCTCCCAACACCAAACCTGCTGGCACCTTGACCTGGACTTCCCACCTCCAGAACCGTGAGCAGCAGTGTCTGTGACAAGCCCCCAGCGGTGTTGCTCTGTTGCGGTGGCCTGCAATGACTGAGGCAGTCTGCAGTGCAGACACATGGTCACCAGTGACGGGTGCTGGGGTACTGCCTCATTGTCCAAAGGATAGTTATCATCCACAGGCAAGTTAGCTCCAGCAACCCAATACTATGTAGTACTAAACTGTGCTTTTGTAATAGGACTTGCTACTGTAGCAGCTAAGTCTGAGCATTTTAGGGACCCTATTTTGATGATAGAGAGCAAGATTTGGAGAAAGATGAACAGGGACAGTTAAACACCTTCATTAGTGTTTACTTGCTATCAGTGACAGCTTCATCTAACGCTGATTTTGGCACCTGGTTTTTTCAGCATGCCCTTTAAATTCTCGATTACCGACACTTAATGTGAAAAGTTCACACAGCAACCTCCGGTCAAGATAGCAGGCAGGTAAACGCGGTCTCGCATCCTCCCACAACCACATCAAAATTACAGAACAACCATCATTCAGAACCGCCTGACATTGAGCTGAATGGAAGTCCTAAAACTACGAAATTAAAGCAGCAGCCGCATCGAGAAAGATAGGAGGGGCGGAGGAGGATGGGCTGGTCCCACACCCACATGTGGCGGATAAAAATCAGGAGGACACCTGGGCTGGGAAGGTCCTCCCTGAGGACTGAGGGGTCCCCATCCCACACCAGGCCCCCAGCTCAGGGTTCCAGTGCCAGGAAGAGAATCCCCATCACTTCTGGCTGGAAAAACCAGCAGGAACTGAGGCTCAGGGAAGCTGACGCAGCTAGAGCCAAGCTGACACAGCTACAGCCCCAGGCAGCTCCTCTTAAAGGGCCCACGCACAAACATATCCGACTCACTCCCTCTAAGCTTGGAGGGGAGGCAGCTTGAGGGGAGCCAGAGACATACAGGGAAGAACTGAGCTCTTTGGCATTGCAGTGAGGGCTGCAGAGGGGGCTTTCTCCGGGACAGATGTGCTGTCAGAGGCCTTTATTCCTCCAAAGGAGTCAGAAGTCAGTGGTCAGTGGGAACAGCCAGTCCTTGGAGCTGATCAGTCTGACTAAATCCCTCCCACTGATGTGCCAACAGCAATCAAGACTCAATTAAAACAGAAGGGTGTACAGTCCACATGAGGGGTGCACCTCAAGGGCCCAGTTGGGAGACAAAGGAGGCTGTGCCACTGGGCCCTACAGGACACCTACTACAATAGGCCACCCTAAGAAGCCTAGGAGACAGAGCAACTCTACCTCATACATAGAAACAGTCACAGGGAAGCAGCCAAAATGAGAAGACAAAGAAACATGTCCCAAATCAAAGAACAGAACAAAACTCTAGGAAACTAAATGAAACAGAGATAACCAATCTAACAGATGCAGAGTTCAAAACACTGGTTATAAGGATGCTCAAGGAACTTAGTGAGAACTTCAAGAAACTTAGTGAAAAGCTCAAGAGCATCAAAAAGGATCAGTCAGAAATGAAGGACGCACTAACTGAAATAGAGAATAAGCTACAGAGAATCAATAGTAGAGTAGGTGAGGCCAAGAAACAAACCATCAATTTAGAATATAAGGAAGCAAAAAACACCCAATCAGAACAGCAAAAAGAGAAAAAAATCCAAAAAAATGAGGATAGTGTAAGGAGCCTCTGGGACAACTTCAAGTGTATCAACATTCACAACATGGGGGTGGCAGAGGGAGCAGAGCAAGAAACTGAAAATCTAGTTTAAAAAAATAATGGCAGAAAAATTCTCTAACTTGGTGAAGAAAACAGACATACAAGTCCACGAAGCACAGAGAGTCCCAAACAAGATGAACCCCAAGAGGCCCACACCAAGACACATCATCATCAAAATGCAAAAGGTTCAAGACAAAGAGAGAATCTTAAAAGCAGCAAGAGAAAAGCAGTTAGTTACCTACAAGGGAGCTCCCATAAGACTGTCAGCTGATCTCTCAAAAGACACTTTGCAGGCCAGAAGGGAGTGGCAAGAAATATTCAAAGTGATGAAAAGTAAGAACCTACAACTAAGATTACTCTATCCTGCAAATCTATCATTTAGAATTGATGGCCATATAAACAGTTTCCCAGACAAGAAAAAGCTAAAGGAGTTCATCACCACCAAACCAGTATTATATGAAATGTTGAAGCATCTTCTTGAAGAAAAAGAAAAAATATGAACAATAAAATGGTAATAAATACATATCTATTGACAACTGAATCTATAAACAAAATGAACAGGTGGAATAGAAACAGACTCATAGATACAGAGAACTTTTTGTTGGTTGCCAGATGGGAGGGCGTTGGAGGAATGGGTGAAAAAGATGAAGGGATTAAGAGGTACAAATTGGTTGTTAGACTGACAAACCTCAAAGGGAAGGTGGGGCGGGGGCTTGGGAAGAAATAAACCAAAGAACTTACATGCATAACCAATGGACACAGACAACAGTGTGGAGAAAGTCAGGAGGGGTGTAGGTGCAGGGAGGAGGGGGTCAATAGGAGGAACATCTGTAATACATTCAACAATAAAGATAAGTTAAAAAAATAAAAAATAAAAAAAGACGGTCCTTAGAGGAAACAGCACACTCTATAATCTGTCTGACTGAATATGGGCATGTCCAACATGCTTCCTATTAAAGACACAGATTTAACAATCGCATCTTATAACTTTTTTCTTTCCTCCTATGGAATCATTCTTTCTCTACACACATCCCTGGCACAATCCCATGTACATACCCACATACCCCTGTGGAGTCAGCCTCCCTCAGAAGGCAGGGAGGCTGAGAGGAGGCCGATGGGATTACCTTGGGAGAGGCACTGGTTGGCCAAGGCCACCTGACCGGAATGCAGGTAGAGGTTGAGGCGTGTGAAGATGCCCACCAGGGACGGGATGGTGATGAAGCAGTAGGCAGCACAAGCCTGGGGGAGAGGGCAGAGACACAGCAGGTCACCTGGCAGTGCCACACTGATGGATGAGGACTCCTGTTCTCATGTAGCATATTTTCAGGCAAAAACACTTAAAATAATTTCCTCATCTTGAGCCCGTTTCCCCTCTTGGCTCTTTGGTATCTGTCTCTTTGGGAGGTGGGGAGAATAAGGATAATAAAGAGATAATATCTAATACCAATAAATTAAACAGCAGCTGTTCAAACCAATTACATTTTAAATTGAGGGATTAAAAAAAGTTGCTACAGAGTGTGAGGCAGTTGACTAAGGAGAGGACGAGATGAGAAGGGGCAGGCTCGGGCACTTCTACTTCATTGTTTTGCATAGGACTTCATTGTTTGACATGTGGGTGGCATTGCTTTCATGAAATTTTGAGCAATACACCAAGAAGCTTAAATTTTATTTGAAAGTTGGCAACTGATCAATATAGAAAAAGAGATCAGACCTTTCGGATATAGGTCCAACTACACAGATAACAGCTGGCACACGCCCCAAACCCATCCCTCCAACCCTTCCCCATGACCTGTATCCCAATCCAGGCTCCTTCAGCCATGTCTTTCAGAAACATTAAGAAAACTGGTCAGGCCATGGACATGCAAGGAAAAGTTACTCTGGAAAATCGAACAGCCCACTGGGGTGTCAAGTGTGTGAGCCTCATTTTTGGAACATACCCGGACAAAGGCAGCCGTTTTTCTGGAGTGGTTCCCCTTCATCACTCGTCTTGTTTCCATTGCTAGCCGGTTCACACTCTAGATGCGTTAATAAGTGAAACAGAAATGGTAATGAAATGAGTGCTGACTCCCATCTTCCACAGAGATCTGAACATGAAGTGCATACAATTCAATGAGAACCAGGTAAGTGGGACCAAGGCTGGTGAGTACTGAGCCCTGAAATGCCAAAGGGTCATCAGGCCCAACCCATCCTGGGCCTGAGCACACATCTCCAAGGGGTGGAGCTAAAGGCACTTTCTGAGTTAGTCATGCCTGCCACCAGCATTACAAATGACCATTTTCTGGTTTAATGAACAGCTAGAGTTTACTTACTCCATTTCTAGCAATCCTTTACACTAAGTTTAAGACCTTAAAGATCTTAAGAGAAATGTTCTAATCTGACAGAAGACCATGAAGCTCAGCTGATGCAATACTAACAAGAATCACGAGAAAGGTGTTAACAGCAGCCATATCATCACCTATAGCATACCAGGGCTGTTTGAAGAGCTGTCCATTCCTTACCACATTTAATCCTCTCAACCTACAAGGTAGGAACTGTTCCCTGCCCGTTTAGTCTCTACATTTCAGTCTTAAGTTTAGTAATGCTCCCATAACCTGACAAACAGCAAACAAGCATATAAAAAAGCTACCCTCCTTGAATTTACATGAGGCAGTTCAAGAGCCTTAGGGAATCTTCCCCCAGGTATGAGAAGTTTAGACCCATGGTTCCCAAACTGAGACACCAGAGTATTATGCAAACTCGCAGGGGAACCTTTCTATGTTAAGGAAAACAGCAATGCTCAGTTGTTCAGCCCGGGCAAAGCGCTGGGGAGGCAGCCCCCAAATCCACACTGGACTGTGTCACATTCCTTGCAGTGATGTCTTATCTTTGCACAACTGGGTTTTGGCAACTGCTGTGAGAAAACGCAAGAGCTGTGCAAAAATCGGTGTGGAAAGAAATCAGCGAGAACAGGAAAGAAAGGTGGTGGTGACCGGCCTGACAAAGGTGTGAGATGTACAGTGCCCAGGAAGTGCCCAACTCACCTCACCAGAAAGAAACTGTGCTCAATAAAAAATGAAATACAAATATTTTTTCTTTCAACATATGTATATTGTGTTTCAAAGGACTATCATGTTGTTAGAGCATACTTGTTTGCATGTAACTTTGTAATAAACAGAGATGTTATTTATTTCTTTTTAACTGGAGGCACCAGGAAAAGTTGCTAAAGGGCCAAGATCCAAGGAAGTTGGAACTGTGATTAGGCAGCAAGGCACTCTAGGATAGTATTTATACAACGAAATAATCAGTGCTCCTCACATAACTCTTCACTGTTGGCATGCAGGAATGAGGATAAACACCTTTCAGAGAAAAAGGGGTCAATAAAAAGCATTCAAAAATTTCTACAAAGTTGTAGATTTTTTTAAAATTAATTTATTTTTGTTACAGATGTTTGTCCTTTTTCCCCCATTGACACCCTCCTCCCCAACCCCTTGACCCCGTCCCCGGCTTTCTTGTCCCTGTCCATTGGTTATGAGTACATGCATATAAGTTCTGTGATTTATCTCTTTCCCTCCCCCAGCCACCCCTCTCCTGAAAGTTGTCAGTCTGTACCCTACTTCCACGTCTCTGGTTCTACCCTATTCCTCAGACTGTTATGTTCATTATATTAGACAAATAAGTGAGATCATGTGGTATTTCTCTTTTGCTGCTTAGCTTGTTTCACTTAGGATAATACTTTCCGGGTATCTCCATGTGGTCTCGAAGGATAAGAGATCTTTCTTTCTTACCCCTGTGTAGCACTCCACTGTGTATATGTACCACAGATTTTTTATCCATTTGTCTACTGATGGATATTTAGGCTATTCCCAGATCTTAGCTATTGTAAATAGTGCTCTTATGAACATGAGGCTACATATATTCTTTCTGATTGGTGTTTCACGCTTCTTAGGGTATATTCCTAGGAGTAGAATCACTGGGTCAAATGGCAATTTAATATTTAATTTTTTGAGGTAACATCATATTGTTTTCCATAGTGGCTGCACCAGTCTGCATTCCCACCAGCAGTGTACTAGTGTCCCCTTTTCTCCACACCCTCGCCAACACTTGTTGTTTGATGATTTGTTGATGGCGGCCATTCTGACAGGTGTGAGGTGATATCTCATTGTTGCTTTAATTTGCATCTCTCTAATGATTAGTGATGTTGAGCATTTCTTCATATGTCTCTTGACCATTTGTATGTCCTGTTTGGAGAGCTGTCTATTCAGCTCCTCTGCCCATTTTATAACTGGGTTGTTTGTCTTCCTTTTGTTGAGTGGTGTGAGTACTCTACATATTTTGGAAATTAACCCCTTAGATGATGTATCATTGGCAATGATGCTGTCCCATACAGTGGGTTGCCTTTCCTTTGTGATGGCTGTTTCTTTTCCGGTGCAGAAACTTTTGAGTTTGATGTAGTCCCATGTGTTCATTTTCTCCTTTGTTTCTGTTGCCTTAGGTGATGTATCAGTGAAAATTCTGCTCCGTATGATGTCCGAAATTTTGTTGCCTACATTTTCTTCTAAAATTTTTATGGATTTTATGCATTTTGAGTTTATTTTTGTGTAAGGTGTAAGTTGATGGTCTAGTTTCATTTATTTTTTTGCATATAGCTATCCGATTTTTCCCAGTACCATTTATTAAAGAGGCTGTCTTTACTCTATTGTATGCTCTTGCTTCCTCAGTCAAATATTAATTGAGCATAACGTCTTGGGTCCATTTGGGAATTCTCTGTTTGGTCTATATGCCTATTCTATATGCCTGTTCTTGTGCCAGTGCCAGGCTGTTTTGATTACAGTAGCTTTGTAGTATAACCTGATATCTGGTATTGTGATCCCACCCACTTTGTCCTTTTTCAAGATTGCTGTGGCTATTGGGGGTCTTTTTTGGTTCCATATGAACTCTTGAAGGATTTGTTCTAGTTCTGTGAGATATGTCGTTGGTATTTTGATGCGGATTGCATTGAATCTATAGATTGCTTTGGGGTAGTATGGACATTTTAATGACGTTAATTCTTCCAATCCATGAATGATAGTACTTCCACTTTCTTATATCTTTATTTCTTTTTTCAATGTCCTGTAGTTTTCTGCAAAGAGGTCCTTCACTTCTTTGGTTAGGTTTATACCTAGGTATCTTAATTTTTTTGCTGCGATGTTAAATGGGATTGATTTTTCAGTTTCTCTTTCTGTGAGTTCATCACTGGTGTATAAGAATGCCTTAGATTTCTTGACGTTAATTTTGTATCCTGCTACTTTGCCAAATTCATTTATTAAGTCTAGTAGATTTTTGACGTAGTCTTTAGGGTTTTCTATGTATAATACCATGTCATCTGCGAATAATGACAGTTTCACCTCATCCTTTCCAATTTGGATCCCTTTTATTTTTTCTTTCTGTCTGATTGCTGTGATTAAGACTTTCAGTACTACGTTAAATAAGAGTGGCAAAAGTGGGCATCCTGTCTTGTTCCTGTTCTTAAGAGAAATGCTTTTAGTTTCTGCCCATAGAGTATGATGTGGGCTGTAGGTCTTTCATATATGGCCTTTATTATGTCTAGACATGATTCCCTCTATTCCCAGACTGCTGAGTGTTTTTATCAGAAATAGGTGCTGGATTTTGTCGAATGCTTTTTCAGCATCTATTGATATGATCATGTGGTTTTTATTCTTCATTTTGTTTCTGTGGTGTTATCACATTTATTGATTTGCTAATACTGTACAAGCCTTACATCACTGGGATGAATCCCACTTGGTCATGGTGAATAATTTTTTTGATGTTTTGCTGGATCAGTTTTGCTAGTATTTTGTTCAGGATTTTGGCATCTGTGTTCATAAAGGATATTGGCCTGTAGTTTTCTTTCTTTCTAGTATCTTTTTCTGGTTTGGGAATTAAAATTATGCTGGCCTCATAAGACAAGATGTGAAGTCTTCCTTCTTCTTGAATTTTTTGAAATAGTTTGAGGAGAATGGGTGTTTGTTCTTCTTTGAATGTTCGGTAAAACTCCCCTGTGAAGCCATCTAGGCCTGGGCTTTTGTTTGCTGGGAGAGTCTTGATTACATCTTCAATTTCTTATGTTGTTATTGGTCTGTTCAAGTTTTCTATCTCTTCCCAGTCCAGTTTTGGGAGACTGTGTGTTTCTAGAAAGTTGTCCATTTCGCTTAGCTTGTCGAATTTGTTGCCATATAATTGTTCATAGTAATTGTTAATGATCTTTTGTATTTCTGTGGTGTCAGTTATTATTTCTCCTTTCATTTCTGATTTTGTGTATTTCTGTTCTGTTTCTTGGTGAGTCTAGCTAAGGGTCCATCAATCTTGCTTATCTTTTCAAAAAACCAACTCTTTGTTTCATTGATCCTTTGAATTGTGTTTTTGGACTCCATCTCATTTATTTCTGCTCTGATCTTTACTATTTCCTTCCTCCTACTTGCTCTGGGGTTTTCCGTTTGGTTTCTAGTTCTTTAAGTTGAAAGTCTATTAGAAATTTTTCTTGTTTCTTGAGGTAGGCCTGTAGTGGTATGAACTTCCCTCTCAGAACTGCTCTCGCTGCATCCCATAGACTTTGTGTTGTTGTGTGTTCATTTTCATTGGTTTCCAAGAAGTTTTTAATTTCTTCCTTGATCTCCTCGGTAACCCATTCATCGTTCAATAACATGCTATTTAGCTTCCATGTGTTCAAATGTCTTTGCATGTTCTTGTTGCAACTGATTTCTAGTTTCATGCAATTGTGATCTGAGAAGATGCTTGATATGATTTCCATCTTCTTGAACTTGTAGAGATTTAGTTTGTGCCCTACCACGTGATCTATCTTTGAGAATGTCCCATGTGCACTTGAGAAGAATGTGAATTCTGCTGTTTTGGGGTGTAATTCTCTATAGATATCTATTAAATCCACTTGATCTAGTGCTTCATTTAAAGTCTTTGTTTCCTTGTTAATTTTTTGTCTAGGGGATTTATCCAGTGATGTCAGCAGGATGTTGAAGTTCCCTGCTATGATTGTACTGCTGTCTATTTCTGTTTTGAAGTCCTCCAGAAGATTTTTAATATATTTGGTGCTCCTATATTTGGTAAATATATGTTTATCAAGGTTATATCTTCCTGTTGAATAGTTCCTTTCAATATTATGTAGTGGCCTTCTTTGTCTCTACCTATGACCTTCATTTTGAAATGTATTTTATCATATATGAGTATTGCTACCCCAGCTTTTTCTTCCTTTCAGTTTGCTTGGAAGATTGTTTTCCATCCCTTCACTTTCAACCTATGTGAGTCTTTTGTTATGAGATGGGTCTCTGGTAAACAACATATAGATGAGTCATGCTTTCTTATCCAATAAGCTACTCTGTATCTTTTTATGGGAGCATTCAATCCATTTACATTTAAGGTGATAATTGATATGTACTTATTTATTGCCATTTTTGTTTAGTGTGGTTATATTTTTCTTCCTGTTTCTTCTATTAATTACAGCAGTACTTTTAACAGTTAAAGCAGTGCTGGTTTGGTGCTAGTGTGTTCCCTTAACTTTTTTTTGTCTGGGAAGCTCTTTATTTGACCATCTATTTTGAATGATATCCTTGCTGGGTAGCATAGTCTTGGATTCAGATCCTTGTTTTTCATGACCTTGATTACTTCATGCCATTTCCTTCTGGCCTGTAGTGTTTCTGTTGAGAAGTCAGCTGAGAGCCTTATGGGGTTTCCTTTGTAGGTAACCTGTTGCTTATCTCTTGCTGCTTTTAGGATTCTTTGTCTTTAATTATTGTCATTTTAATTAGTATTTTTCTTGGTGTGGGCCTGTTTGGATTCTTCTTAGGTGGGGCTCTCTTTGCTTCTTGAACTTGAATGCCTTCTTCCCTCACCAAATTAGGGAAGTTTTCTGTCACTATTGTTTCAAATATATTCTCTAATCCTTGCCCATTGTCTTCCTCTTCAGGGACTCCTATGATGCAAATATTATTATGTTTCCAGTTGTCCCACAGTTCTCTTCCTGTTTTTTATTTTTTTTCCTTTTGGTTTTCTGATTGGTTGAATTTTTCTACTCTTCTAATTCACTGATCTGGTCCTCAGTTTCCTCTACGCTGCTGTTTAGTCCTTGCAGTGTGTTCTTTATTTCTGCTACATTATTCTTCATTTCTTCTTGGTGGTTTTTAATTTCCACTTAGTTGGTTTTCTATGTTTCTATATCTTTACTCATGGTGCTGATGTCCTTACTCATGCTGTTGAGCTTCCCCAAGATCATGGCTCTAAATTCTAGCTCTGTTAACTTGCTTAACTGCACCTCATTATCTCATCTTCGGTTGAGGTCTCTTGTTCTTTCATTTGAGATTTGTTTCTTTGTTTCACCATTTTGGCTATCTTAGTGGGCTTTGGAGCTTGCCAAATTTTCCCTGTGGGTATTGGTGTTCTAGTTTTGTGGCTTCCTCTACTGGGTTTGGATGGGAGTAGGAGGACCTACGTTAAACACCGCTGTCAAGTCTTACTTTCCTGGGTAGCGTTGCAAGCTCAGGAATGGTTCAGTTATCCTCTAGCTTTTTGTCTGGAGACTATTTGTTGTGGTTACTTGAAGAGCCTTGGGTTCTCAGTTGAAAGAAAAACTCCCTCAGGTTTCAGTGTAAGGGGATTTCCTGAAGGTGGGGCAAATGCTGGTTGTTAATGAGTCTCAATCTGCATTTTAAGGGCCCATCTGCTGGGGTTGAATCTCCGAGGGAGGGGCTGCCACCTCTTCCCAGAGCCCTGGGATAGAGTAAGATCACCACGGTCCTGTGGGGCCACAAATCAGCAAAAGCTGTGCGCGCCCTCCAAATCCCGAGTGTCCCCACAAATTTCCAGGCCAGTCCGCCCGCCCTCTACCGGAGCCCAAGGTGAGTGGCTGTGGCTATTTTAGCGCTTTCTCCAGGCCCTCTGCGCTGTGGAGCCATTTGGGAGTTTAACCTCGTGGGCGCTGCTCACATCTAAGACTGCTTCTCCCAGCCCCCCTCTCGCGCTTCCACAATCCTAACAGGATCAGTTTAGTGTCCCTGTTTATATGGTCCTTGCCAGCTGCTTTTCTGTTGCTTTTTCCTGAGGATTTGTCTTTATTTCAGTTGTAATTCCACTTTGTTCCTGGGAGATGGTCTGTATAGCTTCCATTGACTCTGCCGCCATTTTGGAATCCCCCAGCAAAGTTGTAGATTTTATTGACCTCTGAGAAAAACCTTTCATACCTCAGGAACAGGAACAACATGGCGCTAGAAGAATCCCAGATTAAATCTGGTGTCTGGTGTACAGAAGATAAATTAGTATTTACTGAGAGAACACATGAATGAATGTAAGCCTTACGTGAATCAACTGCACGAGAACAGGTTCCAGATTGCAAAACATAGACCTGGCTTCGACATAGAAACTCAGCTGCTGCTCAAAATCACGACCAAAGGACACCTAGAATCAAGCAGAGAGATGCCAACAACGTTATTTCTTTGCAACTGGGCGCACACAAGGAAAAGACTTTTCTTAAGCTTTGTGAGGGAAGGGAAGGCCCCCCAAATATGAGTGGGTGGAAAGGGCATGCAGGCACACGCACAAGCTCACTGGAATATACTCTAACTCGACTTTACAATTCCTAACCCAGCGTATGGCAGAAATACCACCACTGTCCCCTCACTGTTAAACCACAGGCACTGGAGTAGAACATGGAAAGGCTAAGGGTATACAACAGAATCTCACAATATAAACAGAATGTCCCAGGCTAGAAAGAGATCGCTGGGAATAAAATAATAAAATTTTGTCAGCAGTGGCCTTTTCACAGAACATAAAGTTGGTTACTGGGAGCCATTTGTGTGTGTGTGTGGGGGGGTTTCTGCTTCCTGATGGGGTTTCTAACCTCAGCAGCTCCCTGGTGGCTGCCACAAATGGAAGCTTCTCTACCAGACCCCCTTCTTCTGTTTCTCCACATTTAGGAACAGCTGGTTAGTAGGACAAACACATGCCACAGTGATCACTCCTGTCTAGAGGAGATCTAACATGGCTATTTCCATGACAGCTATCAGATTCCACATTTATTCCCTCGTATTCTTTTCCAATGTAACTCAGTGGCTTTCAGACAAAGCCATAAAGGGATAAATACATGATAGCACTGGAGAGGCACCTGGTCAAAACCCTAGGTACATTCCTTAATGTGGCCTGAATTTTCATCAAAATCAGTATTTTACCCAGAGTTTGGTGGATAGTTCAACTGACGCCTGCTGCTGAATGAGTCACATTCCCTAGGTTATTTTCCAAGTGATCTACCCGTATCCTTCTCAGCCAGCTTTTGTCTCGACATGCCTGTTAAAAGGTGGGCGCTGGCAGCAGCTGGCAGTCAGCTCTGCGCACCAGGAAACAAGGCAAAGGCTGTCCTGGCGAGAACAGTACAGTGGACTGCTCTCAAAGGCTGCAACCACCCCCCCCTCTTCTGGCATTTCAGGGTCCCTGTGGACTTGTCCCACCCGGACACGGAGCCAGCTTTCCCTATGCAACAAGGGGCTGGCCCTGGGGCTCACGGTTTCTGAACCTGAGCCCTAGAAGACCCTGGAGCTTCTGTTTGCCCTCACCACATAAGGGAGCTATGACAACCGAATGATGAAAGATCATTGAAAAGAAAGAGATCACATGGATGAGAAACGAGATAGACACCCAGCCAGCATCTAGGTCCAGATACAGCATAACCCTGCCGCACAGAGCAGCCTGGTCATCCACCAGCCAACAGAATGGTAAGAATTAATAAAACACTGTTACTCAAAGCCCCTAGGGTCTGGGGTGAGCTGGTCTGCAGCAATAGTAGCTCAGACACACGGAGAGTGGGCACTGGGCATTTGCACCCAGCCTCGCTCCATCAATGTCTGTGAGCAGCCCTCCAGTATTTCAGGAGCCTCCCCTCCACATCCATGTGACTTGGGTTGCCCAAGTATGCACAGGTCTCCCTGGCCTGGCCACGCTGTGTGTCTGCTCTCCCTCACAGCAGCAATTCAGTTAGGGATGGGCCATGACCCACATGGATCCAAAGGGCCTCGATCCTGGGATTTGCGGGAACCCTTCCTGCCAGGCTGCCAAGCTGGAACGAGTGGAACCTGGAGCTCCCACGGGGAGTGAGCCTGCCTGGGAGGATGGCAAGAGGGAGCCAGGAGCCAAAGACACCCAGACCGCAGGCCTGTCAGCACTACAGAGACTTGGGCCCAGCTGCTCCTTTGAAGGGTTCCATCCCTCAACTTTTGTCCCATCAGTTTTCCTCCCTTGCCCCTCTGACGTCACCCTTGGCCCCCAGAGGGGGGCTGGCTAATGTAAGATGTTCTCTAATTTCATCTTATCACAATAAAAATGAGAAGCACCAGGAAACATAATGATAACTGTTTTCACCAGAGTAAAGATAAACGATTACATCACAATTCCAATCACAGTGACACTTCTTCCTCAATACTTACCATTTTTATAAATCCATTAATCAAATGTGCCAGCATTCTTTTCTCATCCTCAAGAGTGAGTGCACTAAAATCAACAATCATACATAATTTACACTGGGGTAATAAATGAGTTTCTAAAGGAAAAATATGTAAGAACATTTTAACAGGTAAGAACATTTTGCATTTTCTAGATTTAAAAACATTTCACATCTCTGTCAAAGATGCTGTTCTCAAAATACATTTATTAATGGCATAAAGGAAGGTTACTTTTTCTTCTTTGGAATTTGGACAGAAAGGCCCCACTTCAAATGTAGTTCAGAGAACTTTTGTTCAACGTGGTAACAAATTTTAAACAGGCAGCCAAGCTGAAAAGAATTTACAAGGAATACCCGTATATCCAACCATCAAGATCTTACCATTATCATTTTACAGTATCTGCTTTATCACATAACTACCATTCCCCTCTCCATCCATCCATCCATCTTGTGTTGGGGATGATAATAAAGTAGATCACGATCTCGGCTACTTCTATTTAGCAGCAGATGTAACACCAGCATGCAGAAGAACACGTCAAAGCCCTGTAGTCTGGGTCATACTTGTGCAGGCCTACACACAGTGCCCTGATTTACTGAAACTTTTCAGAGCCCAGAGGAACAGGAGCCAAGACTCTTTCTGCTGGTCTGCTGCAGGGAAGACCAGCGCTGGCAGATGGCACCGCCCCCTCCAGTGCACTTAGTCTCCTTCCTCTGACTCCACTTTCGTCTCCTCTGCAGCTGGGTACAGCCACAGGATAGGTCTAGTCAAAGAGACATGAGTGCAACGGATCTGTGAGCCTCCCAGTTTTGTCCCTAGAATAGCGGTTCTCAACCTAAGACCTAACAGTAGCAAAATTACAGTTATGAAGTAGCAACAAAAATAATTTTATGGTTGGGGGTCACCACAACATGAGGAATGTGGTAAAGGGTCACAGCATCAGGAAGGTCGAGAACCGCTGCCCTAGAAGAAAGCTGCTGCTCACCAACGCCCGCAGGCTGCACTGCGGACAGTCACGGTGAGACCCTCTACCAGGGAGACGAGGGCAGCCCAGAGGGACGGCGGGGTGGCAGGACAGAAGGACCGGGCTCCTGAGTGATGTTCTAAGCAGGGCCACCTCACCTCCACCTCTGGCCTCACTTTTATCCAGAGAGAAATCAGCCTATTTTACTTGGATCAAAAACCAATTCCTACAAATACAAGTGCCTTTCTAGATGTTTTCTGTGCCTTGACTTTTACTTTTGTCCAACTAAAATGTATTGGTTCCATTTATTATGAAAAGTCTTGATATTTTGATTTTGATAACTGCCCATGAAGCTGAACGCACAAAGTTATGAAAATAAAGATTCTGAAATTCAGAGGGAAAAATAGAAATACAATTCATGTTGTTGATGGTTAAATTCTAAAACTATTTTCTCAATGCCTATAACTTTCCAATGAATCAAGCTGCTTGTTTGAAACTTCTGTGGGGACTAAAACTTCAGTGACAAGCAGGAACTGCTTTACGCGTAGACAAATAGAAATATGTGGGGGAAAAGGCTAGAAAGCCAAGAAGCGAGAGTTTGGCCTTCAACCCAAAGGTAAGGTCAGCGGACAGGTCTGAGCCTGACCTCCACTGAACAGCTCCAGTCCTTCATGCATGGAGCTAAGCGATTGCAGCTGAATTTTAAAGAACCGGCTAATAACGAGAAAGAAATGTAAAGGCTGGGCTACTGAATGAGTGAACTCATTATTATACTACCTGCTGATCTCAGAAATTTCCTGGAGACAGGGAGTTTGGGTTAACTTGCATGAAATCAGCCTTTTTCTCCCAACTGAAACTCCTTTATAAAAAATGTGCCTCTCACTTTAAGGTACTCCCAGCATCCCCTGTCTCCTAGACGTCTGGACAGTCCTCTTAGCAGGAATCCTAACAGCCCCAAAGAATAACACCATCCACGTGGCGGCTGAGCAGCGACTCCCTTAGCACCACTACGTGACACTGAGACCCAGCCCTGTCATGTCTTGGCCTCAGTGTGGCTTACTTCACAGAGTCATGCATGGTCTTGCACACGTGCAGGAGGGCGTTCAGGATGACCGGGTCCTTGGTGGGCTCGTGCTGATGCCTAGGAAACAGTTACAGACAGTGGTAAAGCCGTGCCCGCTGAGGACAACGAGCGCACAAACTCAGTTACCTACTACTCACGTCGGAGAAGCGAGATGACCAGGTCACCACTCACGGGACGTGCTGGTTTCCCCTTAACTCTTTCAGCGACAAGTTTGCTCTTCCCCACATATCATGACTTCTCGTAACCTCAAACTCCTGGGAAAACTGCTCCACTTTCTCACCAAGCAAGGGCACATCTGTTTCCTGTATCATGTTTCTTTTCCTCTCTGAAAGGGCCCATAACCTGTCTACAACTGTGTTGGGGGCCAGACTTATTCACTGGGTTTTTCATATACTATAAAAGGACAAGCTCATCAAACAAGCCTGTATGCAAGTAAAGTAGGTGTATTTGTTCCAAGTACAACATAAGGAAAGCATAAAACATATATTCAAGCAACATCCATCTCTACATTTTCCAAACTCTACATACTTAATATTTTAAGTGACTTTAACTTTTAACTTAACCTTGTCCTAAAAAATAATATACATGAAATCATGGATTATGCTAGTTATATATTATTTAACATACTTTAAGATAAATATAAATATACAACTTTTAAAGTAAAAATGGAAATCTCTCCTGTGCGGACCACCTACAATTATTCCATATACCACAAACAATACGCAGTTGAGGGAAACATTTAATAACATGAAAGGAACTAAACTTGAAAATGGATCACAAATCTACACATTGAAGATGGAAACCGTTCTAGCTCTGGTATTTTGATAAGTATGACTTTATCTTTTAAAATGTTGCTCCCACCCTGGCTGGTTTGGCTCAGTGGTTCGAGTGTCGGTCTGTGCACTGAAGGGACTTTGGTTCAGTTCCTGGTCAAGGGCACATACCTGGGTTGCGGGTTTGACCCCCAGCCCAGGTCAGGGCTCATGCAGGAGGCAAATAATCAATGTGTCTCTCTCACATCTCTCTCTCTCTCTCTCCCTCTCCCCCTCCCTTCCTCTCTCTCTGAAAAAAAGGAAAAATATCCTTGGGTGAGGATTAACAACAATAAAAATGTTACTCCCTAACTAGTTCATCAATAGATTGCTCCTTCCAAAAACACAGGAGTGAAATGTAGGTGCTGGCCAAGCTTTGCTCGTACTTACGACTTTGTCTTCTTAAGCACTAGTTACAAACTGTTATCATGACTGCTCCTTTTGTGTGGTTTTCCTCAATGCTCCCTTTGGTATGAAATGCAAACACATGACCCCAGAGTGCATATGCTGAATTCGTATCAACAGGTCTCAAAAGGCACAAGGAACTGAATTCTGATTACCCTGTGTTCCACTTACTTGATGAAAACATCCATGATGCATTTACAAACCTCCACCCGCACACTCTCTTTTTGGAACATGTCCAGAAATGGCAGAAATTTTTCCTAAACAAACAAAAAAAAGCCCTCAACATGCAATTTATACAAGTTATTAGAAGGAGCTCGTAATTTTTTCTGTGGAGATCAAAACAGCCGCTCATCTCTGAGGCAGGTCGGATGAGGGCTCATCTGCAGGCAGGTAGCTGGCCCTTAGGGTTTAGAAACTGTTACTATTGAAAAGGACTCTCCTGTTTCCCCGGGATCGGGGTGAACAACGGGGTGCACCTGCTGGGAGGCAGACAGAGAGGACCACAGCTTTTCTGTGTAACGAAATGAGAAGCAGTCTCCAGCATTTTCACAGAGGCGAGGCCGAGCAAAGGAAGAGTCGGGGCTGCTCAGAGAGCGGCCCTGCCTACAGTGGCCGGGGGACCACCTGGTCTCCACTCCTTCCCACATTGGTCTTCTCACCTGTAAGGGGACTAACTACCCCCACCCCCCACGGGTGCTGTGAAATGTGATGAGGCGGTCCATGCAGTCAGTTCTAGCACATTGTTCAGAGTGTGGTGAACGTCCAATACAGAATAGATTCTATTTTTAAACAAAAGACCAAAATCTCCAGTCCTGTCAGAGTACAACACAGAAAAAGGAAGAGGGCAGGGTGCCAGGGGAAAGAGACGCTAAGGGAAGAGCAGGCCACTGTGCTTAGAAGTGGTACAGAGCAATGGAAAGCTAGGGAACCTCTGGGATAGATGGAATAGGGAAACTGAGGCAGGAAAATTAAAGCCAGAAAGTTTTGCAGGATTTATCTTGAGAACAAAGGGTTAAAACCTCCCCTTCTCACAGAAAGATGCAGGAGAGGAAAGAAAGGGGGAGAGAAGGAGGAGGAATCAGACCACTTAGTGCAAATCATCCTGAAGCTATTAAAGCAGGGAGGAGGGAAGAACAGTATGAACAGAAGCCAGCAGTTGGGATCTAACTGCCAGGGGCTTCCCATAAATTGTGGAAAAGCCATAACAAAGAAAAGGCAAGACCTTCAGAGTCCATCTGTACCAGGATATCTAGCAGGGGAATTTTTTAAAAAACTTAGATAAGGACTGGTTCCATTCTCGTCAGGGCACATGCCTGGGTTGCAGGCTCGATCCCCAGTAAGGGGCATGCAGGAGGCAGCCGATCAATGTTTCTCTCTCACATCGACCTCACATTTTTCACTTCTCTCTCTCTCTCCCTTAAAATCAATACAAACATACTTTAAAAAACAACTTATAGACAGGAGGGGATATGAGGCAGAAACCCCCACCCCACTGGCTCTTCAGATTTGCTGAGAGCCCGTCTGTGCTTCATGAGCCAGATGCACAGGTTGCTCACTTTGCTTCATTAATAAAGGTGCATGCTTTAACTTCTTACTAAATTCATTTGTTTCAACGAATACACTTTACCACACAGTCAAGGTCTCTCGTATGAACTCATTTGCGAGAGAAGACAAGGATGGAGGTTGGGGACAGCCGCTCCCTCTGACCCAGTCCGATGTCAGCTCTCTGGCGCTGCAGGTGCCTGTCCCAGAAGCACCCAGATTTATACTTGCCCAGTGCACTGCGGCAAACCTGAAAGGGCGTCTCTGAAATTTTTAACTTTTTGAGGGAAACGTAATAAATATTAACTCTCAGACACTGAGACAACTATTATGTCATAGTTTCAACATTAGATTGTGATAAACAGCAAATATGTGAAAATTAATGAGTAAGAGGATGTCCGGTTTGACGCCAAGGTCGGTGACACTGTCTGTACCCACTGGTGCACACATCCCATGAGTTCAGTGATGAATGAACTAAAGATAATAGCTTTTTTCCAGTCTGTGTGTATTATTTTTTTCAAGTACTGATTAAGTTGCGATGGCATAAATACTTAAGTTGTTTAGACGTAACTACTTTATGAAAGGAATTATTAAGTATTTCTTTTGGTCAACGGCACCTTGAAAAAATTACTGAGACACTAAGAGAACCTGTGACTCAGATACAAATTTCCAAGATAATTAAGGAACATTACTTACCACGGAGAAAAGAACTGAGAAATCGTGGAAGTGGGCAATGACTTTCTTAATTATTGACTGAAGCTGCAAACAAGACAAAAAACACATCTTATTTAATAAAACTTGAATATATTTTAAAACGGTAACCCTTTCATAATTTGCAATAAAAATTACACGAAGGGAAACCTGGACAGCTGAAGGACGGGGGATTACTGGGCAGGTGAGGCCACATCTCAGTCCAGGTCTGCCCACCTCATCCGTGCCCCGGACCCTCTTCTGTGACACGCAGAGCAAGCGGCATTCTGCTCACAGCAAGGATTCAGTGGGATGGCTCAGACACATGGTCCCAGCCCTTCGGGCCGCCCCTGAAGTCAGCTGTGAATGTCCAAGGAGTCAGCGAGCACTTTCTGCATACCCTTCAGTCATCACAGCTACCGTAGACCCAAAGTAGCTCTTTAGGTCAGTAAAGCTAAAGATTAAGATACTGCAACACTGTCTGGTTAAAATTGTTTCTGAAACCTTATCCATAGCAACTAATCCCCTTAGAATAGGAATGTTTTATATACTTAAATATAATTACACATAACACATTTCCTGATTTTAAAAAACAGTTTTTTTCACCATTTTACTATGAAAATGCTGAAACATGAAGAAATTCAGAAGACTACGTGCCAGACGCCCCCACCCCAGACCTTTTCTTACACTGATAAAGCTGGAAATTGTTTGCTGGCAGTAAGGCCAGAACATCATGTCACTAAATAAAAAATTAAATCTTAACTAGATCAAGTTACTTTGCAGGACATGATCGTGAGCTGGAGTCCGTTCCGGAAGTGAGAAAGACGTCCACTCTCAAGGACATGACTGAGACCAGGGACAAAACAGGAACGGGGCTGTGGGGGCAGTGACAGAGATGCACTAAATGTGAAAGTTCTGAAGCTAATGACTACACTGGTTGCACAGGAGAATGTCCTTGTCCTCAGGAAACACTCACTAGAATCTCTAGAGGCAAAGTGGTATAATGTGTGTGAATTATCTCCAAAGGCTTTGGAAAACGCCTGCACACACAGGTGTGTGCTCACATAAGGATGATGACAAGCAAACAAGGAATATATTCATTGCTGGTGTATCTGGGTAAAGAATAATGGGACTTCTCCAAGCTATTGTGTCAACTTTTCAATATACTTGAATTTATTTCTAAATAAAGTCAGTTTAACTGAAAAACACAGACACCTTACTTGAGTCCAGCAACTGTCCAGGGCTTCCCACCCACTTCTCAATCCTCACAACCATTCTGAGGGGAGGGCTGTTACTAGGCCCATTTTGCAGGGGAGAAAACTGAGGTACAAGGTCAAGTAACTGAGTAAAGGGTACAGTCAGGATATGACAGAGCTAGGATTCAAACCCAGGATGATCTGACTTCATGGTCTGACCCATGCAACAGGCCAATTTAATTCAACAGAATAAAATCTCCAAGTGTGGAAACAGAAAAGGCACATCTATTACCTGAGGGTAGGAGTCCTCAAATGCACGATCTGGAGTCATGTGCTTGATGACATCGGCCAAGACGGTGTTCACCTCTCGTTTCTAATGAGAAAACGAATGAAGGCTCTATTAGACACTGAATGGTAGATGCTAACCATTTTTCTGGGGAAAAGACATATCTTCCAGAAAACAGTTCCAAATATTCTGTTGAAAATATTATAAGGGGGAAAATCCCACCCATACCACAGCCTTAAAGGTGGCTCTGTCCACACCATGTCAGGACTGAGACACCATCTCAAAGGCTCTGGGCAGTCCAGTGTCCCTGCTCTCCCTAACTACTGGTGCAACCAGCCATGCCACGTTCTGACACCTGTCCCAGATCTCTCTCCAGGGGCCACGGGTCAGAGCAGACTTGCCCGCTACAAGCCAGGTAACCCAGTACCCACTTCGCTTTTGCTGTCTGTATCAGGGGTCAGCTACCACAGCCAGATCCAGCCCGATCCTGTTCTATATGGCTGTGAGCTAGGACAGGCCTGACAGTGGGAAGCACAGGAGGCTCATTTCAGTGTGCATGAACAGGGTTCACCGGCACACACCTGTGCTTCCTCACGTACTACCTGTGGCCGCTTTCATCTGCAGAGGCAGAGCTGGAGATCGCTGGCCATGAAGCTTTAGGTGTGTACCTGGCCCTTCACAGAAAACATCTGCAAATGGGAGCACTGAAGCCTCTTGGCAAGGCAGCTCTGAGGCTGCGTGGCTTCCAGGTAAGTTACCGGGCACAGCACAATATCTAAATAGCTACCATTATGTTTGCTTTCTTGTGTAACGGCCATTAAATTCACCAGCATTATTCCCATTCTACAGATGAGGAAGTGGAGGCTCAGAGAAGTTAAGTGACTTAGCCAGGGTCATACAGAAAAAAAAAAAAAAAAACCTGACAACAACACTAAACGAATCCAAAGTTCCTTGGAGAAAAGTACTGATTCTGAACCTGGGATAAGAAATATGCAGAGGAGGCAGAACATCTTAGAAAGACCGAAAGGCATCAAAGACAACAGAGAACATCTCTAAGGACTCTGGAACCAACTTGAAAAGGTATCCACTAGTCAGAAACGGAAGAACTGAGCATCAGTCAGAATATAAGTCCAATATGTTTAAATTCATGAGTTCTTAAAGACACCAACAGCAACTACAACTCATGGGTCATGTCTGGGGATGTTGGGGAATTGAACCCTTCCTCTACAAATTAGTAAATAACAGATAAAACCAATCAGTAACACTGCCTTTTCCGTATAAACTGTATCTCAGGATAACCAAAGCCTGATGAAAGGAGTCTATCTTTACACAGGTGTCCCAGACAGCGGACAGCACCATGCTGCACCCTCTGCGCAGCTGTGACATGCATGGCCAGTGGCTGCTCACGTCAGACACAGCAGGCCCAGACGTCCCAGGAAGAGCGCCGGCCACGCGCACAGTGCCACAAGAGGACACCTGAGCCGAGCCAGGCTACAGACTGTTCGTGGGGAATGCTGACGGCACAGGAATGTGCTGGACCACCACAGGGGTGCGACTTCCAGCCCAGGGGGAAACTGTGGACGAACCACCCAGTTTCTCAACAAATACCTTACAATGGAGAAAGGGAGGGGGGGAGGAGGAGAGAGAACTTCTAAATTAAAATAAAAATCCTAAGAAGTCTGTTGCAACATATGGTTCTTATTTTAATTCTGATTGAACAAATAAAGTGTAAAAAATTATGATACAATGGGGAAAATTTAAACACTAATTTTTAATCACATTAAAGCATTATTAATATTTTTAGTTAAAATAATGTCCTAGAATTTTGCTTTAGCAAAGGGAATTCTTATATTGTGCAGATATGTCCTGAAGCATTGACAGATGAAATACAATGTGAGATTTGCTTCAAAATGATGCAGGGATGGGGAAAAGGGAGAAGGCCATGGAATAAGACGTATCCTGCGGCGGTCACTTCTGGGTGATGAATGTCAGAGATCTAGGTTTGAAGCTTACATACCAATACATAAAACAAAACTGGAGAAACCAAGTCAACAAAATTACATTCATACAATACTCAAACAGAGGCAAAAGCAACTTGTGGAGTTGGAGGCCAGGGGTTTCCTCTCACTTCCAGAGGCCAGGCCGTGATGGAAGGGGCACGGGGGCTGCGAAGAGGGAGGTTATTTCCTACCTAACCTGGACCGCGACTACATGAGTGACTTTTGTCAAGACTCGTTAGGCAGCAAACTTACGATCTATGTGCATTTCTACATGTCTGCTACACTTGAATTAAAAAGTCAATACAGCCCTGGCCGGTTTGGCTCAGCGGTTAGAGCGTCGGCCTGCGGTCCAGAGAGGCCCGGGTTCGGTTCCCGCTAAGGGCATGTACCTCGGTTACAGTTTGTCCCCGGCCCTGGTTGGGTCGTGCGGGTGGCAGCCACTCGATGTGTCCCTTCACGTCGATGTTTCTCTCTCTCTCCCTCCTACTCTATCTGAACAAAAAATGAAAAAAAAATGTCCTCGGGTGAGGATAAAAAAAAAAAAAAGTCAATACAATGAACCACCCTGACAGCAGGGTTTGAACCCAGCTCTACCTACTTCCAAAGTCTCTGCTCTTTGACAATCCCGGCAGTTCCAAAACTGAGGTTCTGGTCTGGGCCTCGGGAAAGAAGTGTCTTTGTGTGCTTAAAAATAATTACATGCAAGTCAAATATGTTTGGGAAATGCTGCTTGCTAGACCAGAACTAACACACCTTACAGTGAAAAAGTTGCTTAACTATGCACAACGCAGCATTTCCCAAATTTACACGAGAACACTTTTGTTACAGCACACATATTAATGCTCTGTGACACTAGACAATAAAGGATGGACTTTTTATAGAGTAAGAATAACTGCCATTGTAAAATGCCTCAGCTAGACTTATCCACTAGGATAAACATGAAAAAAATATAATACTTTCAAAAACAATGCCACAGCCACACATACCATGAAATGCCTGCAGGCCTACTCCTCCCACACTGTACATGAAATGCCTGCAGGCCCTCTCCGTCCACACTGTAGGTGAAATGCCCGCAGGTCTACTCCACCCACACTGTACATAAAATGCCTGCAGGTGTCCTCCGCCCACACATACCGTAAAATGCCTGCAGGTGTACTCCGACCACACGTCAGCACAGTTAATGTAGTCCTACAAAACAAAAGTGAAAATGTCTCCAGTAAGAACACCACAGCTGCCTTTATGGAAGAAGCAAGTCATGTTCAAATTCTTTCAAGAGCTATGACAATTAAGAGTTGACAACTGACAGAAATTTCAAGAGTGGTTCATCTACATCAAACTCTGACACACTGACATATTTCACCCTGAGATGTGAGTTATAGAAAAACATAAGTTGCTTCAAAATGTGAACCCTGAGAAAGAAGATACCTACTAAGAAGGGTTCCCAGTGGCTACCTGGGCTCAAACTTAAAAGTCAGAGCCCACAGCCATTTCTGCAAAGAGCCTCTCTGCAAACTGCACCTCAGGGAGAAGCCTGCACCAGTCTGCCTGTCTCTGTAAGGAGCTGCCTTCCGGGACTGTGTTCCTGCCCTCCAAGCCAGCCCTCTACAAAGGAGTTGCTCGAATCCTATTTCAACCAATAGGATTGAGGCTCCCCCATCTAATCAGAGATGTGCAGCTATATCGCCATCAGCTTCTTTACCAACAGATCAGAGCAGTTCAATTCTGGACAATCAGAACAGTGCCTTTTGAAACAATCAAACTGCAAAGATTTGGAGCCCTCATTTGCATGAGCCACCTCCCCTCTGGCTCTGGGAGCACACTTTCCCTTTCCACTCACGAGCTGAAACACTGAAGATGTCTCCCAGAACAGAGTGGAACAGACCAGTGCAGAGCAGGCTGCAGACTGGTCGCTGTTCCCAGGGAACAGAGTAGAGATGTCTAGCCAGAGAGGGTCAGGCCCCATGGCCGAGGCTGTGCTGTGTCACAATTGAGCCATTTGCAATGAATAGTTTCCTTCTTCATCACATCCCAAATTGGGGACTCCTGCTGGTGTTCAGTTAAAGCCAACAGCATTTGGTTGCCAGGACTGATCAGATAGATGGTAACTCCAGAGCGGCCACCCGGGCCACGCTAGAGAACTGCAACGCTCTCCCAGGACTAAGAACCAAGGCAGGTAGAATCCAAGGCAGTGCTGGCTCCTCTCCACTCAGTGAAGAAACTGATAGCAGATCAAGTTGAACACTTCAGATTTGCCAAAAATGTGATTTTTCAAAATTGGGCTTCCTGCCTTTAAAAGATAAACTATTTGCATTGCACAGGAGTGACAAGTATATGGTATAAAAAATTAAAGCACCCAGCCGGTGTGGCTCCGTGGACTGAATGTTGTCCCAAGGACTGAGTGGTACCAGTTTTCTGTGCCCCAGCTGTGGGCTCGATCCCCAGGAGGGGGCATGCAGGAGGCAGCCGACTGATGTTTCTCTCTCACATAGATGTTTCTATCTCTCTCCCTAAAAAAATCAGTAAAACATATTTTAGAAAAAATAAAAAACTCTTAAAGAAAAGTGAACACAGCATAAAGGGTGGTTTCAAGATGGCAGCAAGTAGGTGACCCCTTCCTGCACCTCCTCCCACAACCAAACTGGAAATACACTAAATGGGGAACAGTCACTTGGAATTACCACCGAGGACTAGCTGAAACAAGAGGACAGAAACCACCTGGAGACTGGGGGGATGGGCAGGTCGTGAGAGGGACAGCCTGCTCCCACAGGCGGCAGGCCGAGGCTGAGAGGGGCGGTCCTGGCTGTGGGTGGTTCCTTGAGAGGAAGGGGTAAGGCCCACGGACCCCAGGCTGAGCTGCACAGCCCGGAGCACCAGAGCTGAGAATAGTGGCCCACGTAACATCCACCAGTGAAGGGCAGTGAGGCTTCTACCCCACAGGGAGAGAGGCAGCCTGTCAGAGATAAAGCCACTTTAAAAACAAAACAAAAACCCAGAGCACAGGACTTTCATTTGCAGAAAATCACCCAGAGCATTGATGGAAGGAGGGTGGTGCAGACTGAATTCACCTGAGGAGAATCTGGGGCTGGGGATATCGAGAGGAGATGGGCAGGAATGGCAGCCAGGAGATCTGAGCTTGGTCGTCCCCAGCGCCACACCGCAGCAGCCCCTTTTCCTGAGAGACACAAGCCCTCCAAAGCAGCAGCCGCCTAGAAACAAGGCAATACCCTGCCTCCTGCTAGAGTGCTCCTGACCCTCAGGAATCCCCCGTGCTCCGCCCTTCATCTTGACCACTGCCCAGGAGGTTGCAACAGAGGCCTTGCAAACCAGTCTGGGCAGTCTCAGAGGGAGTCAGTTCTCAGGGGGCATCAGTGACTGACTTTGGGGCAGGGCCACCCCCCCCATTGGGAGAACCTGATTGGTGCTTCTCCCTTGAGTGTGAGCTGATACAAACTACCGGATTCCAGCAGACTTTGATCAGTCTGCACACAAGGGTTCTGCCACACCGAGGTCAGGGAAATATGACACCAGGACAGGCTCTGGGACAGAGGAACACATCTGCCATCTACTGTACGGCACCTCCCCTTCACAGGAGACCCAGAGGTGTCATCCTCCAGATTTCTCCAAAAGTCATTCAGGCTGGGCCGGTGTGGCTCGGTGGTTGAGCATCAACTCATGCACCGAGGTCACCAGTTAGATTCTCAGTCAGCGTAGGTGCCCAGGTTATGGGCCCAATCCCCAGAGGGGGGCATGCAGGAGGCGGCCAATTAATGTTCTCTCTCATAAATGTTTCTCTCTCTCAATCTCTCTCCCTTCCTTTCTCTCTCAAATCAATAAAGAAAATAAAAATGTCATTCAGAAACAGACTTTTCAGTGACTGAGTCTGAGAACTGTCTGGAAGGCAGAGGTGGGCGGCTGCAAAGCCCACGGTGCCTTGGGATGCTTGCTGACCCACTTTTCATCCCCATGCTGCTAACAAGCCAGCCCTAGAGAGCAGCTTGGCCCATCCTGAGTGCAGCCAAGCCCTATGCTGGCATGTAAATCGCTTGAAGCTTTGAACAGGTTACCAAGAGCCAAACATGGACAGCTTCTGACAGTGGCTAGCACAGAAGTACCTCCTGGAAGGTCCAGAAACGACAGACAAAACAGTCAGCCTTGGCCAACGTAGTAGCAGGACCCAGAGGGAGCTCCCAACAGGTACTAAACTCTGCCCAGACGAGCTGCAATTCCCTTTTATTTGCATCGATTTATTTTTGCTTTTTTATTGCACTGTTGTTATTTTTTGTCTCTTTTTTCTTTCAAATCTCTTACTTTCTTTCATTTTCTTTCCTTCTTTAAGTACTTTTATTGATCTTTTGTTATTGTTAATCTTCACCAGAGGGTATTTTTTCCACTGATTTTTAGAGAATGGAAAGGAAGGAAGGAGGAGGGTGGGAGAGACAGGAGGAGAGGGAGAGGTACCTCAATTAGTTGCCTCCTGCATGTGCCCCAACTGGGGCCAGTGATTGAACCTGCAACCCAGACACATGCCCTTGACTGGGAATCAAACTCAGGACACTGAAGTGCATGGGCTGATGCTCTAACCACTGAGCACACCAGCCATGGAATTTTATTGTATTTTTAGAGAGGGAGGAAGGAAAGAGAGAAACACAGAAACTCATTGAGAGACAAACATGGATGGGCTGTTACCAGCATGCCCCCTACCAGAGATCAGCCCACAACCTGGGCTTGTGCCCTCACTGGAAATTTTACCAACAACCTTTCGGTGCATGGGATACCCAACAAACTAAACCACAGTGGCCAGGGCTCTCTTTCCTTTTATTATCTTATTTCTTTACTCTTTCTCCTCCTTTCCCTTCTTTTTTCCTTTTCATAATTTTTCCTTCCTCTTTTATACCATTTTCCTATCTTTTAGCCTTAATTTTCCCACTCCCTTTAGTCCTTCAGTATTATCTTTTCTTTACCCTTTTTATTCTTCTCGTATATTTTCCTTTTCATTTATTATTCCTGTTCACTTTTCTTTTTCCTAATTCACCCTTGTTTTGTGGTTCTTTTTCTTGTTGTTGGAGTCTTTTGTATGCTTATGTTTTAATCTTGTTTTCTTGTGTTCTGTTTTGTTCTGTCACAAGCTGCACAACAGCTCACAGGACATGGTCGGTGTTGAACCTCACATCCAGACAGCCTGAGGGGAGATCCTACCCACAGACATGACAACAATCAGGGGCAAATTCCAAATAACCCATACAAGGGACATTTCTACAGAATCCAGATCAGGAGATCAGAGGCTGTACCTCAGGATCCCAAAGGACATTTAGTACATAAGGCCCCACCACAAAACTGGGAGGCATAGCAGTTCTTTCTAATATATACACACAAACACAAAAAGACAGCTAAAATGGGGAGACAAAGAAACAAGCTGCAAATGAAAGAAAAGATGGCATCTCAAGAAAAAGAGCTAAATGAACTAGAGGCAAGCAACTAATCAGATATAGAGTTCAAAGTAATTGTTACAAGGATGCGCAAAGAACTTCATGAGAATGACAAGAACTTAGTGGGAACTACAAAAAGTATGAAAAATAAAATAGAAACCATGAACAAGAATGAGTAGGAAATTAACAATACCATTTATGAAATCGAGAATACACTGGAAGGAATAAAACTAGATTAGAAAAAAAGCAAAGTATCAAATCAGTTATTTGGAAGACAAGATAGAATAAAATACCAAATTAGAGCAGAACAAAAGTAAAAATAATTAAAAAGCAAGAGGATAGTTTAAGGGAACATTAAAAAAACATGAAACAAAAACATCTGCACCATAGGGGTACATGAAGGAGAAGAAAGAAAGCAAAGAATAGAGACAGAGCATGTTTTAAAAAAATGAGAGAAAACTTCTCTAACTGGCTTAAGGTAAAAGTAACCCAAGTTCATGAAGCACAGACAGTCCTAATCAAGAAGACCCAAAGAGACCCACTCCAAGCCACATAATTAAAATGAGAAAGGTTAAAGACAAAGAAAGCATCTTTAAGGCAGCAAGAGAGAGACAAAGTTACCTACAAGGGAGATCCCATTAAACTATCATCTTATTTCTCAACAGAAATACTTTAGGCCAGAGCATATGGGCATGAAGTATTCAAAGTAATGAAAAGCTGCCTGGCTGGTGTGACTCAGCAGACTGAGTGTCATCCCATGGA